GGAGTAAAAACAGCCTTTTTAATAAGTAGTGTTGGGAAAATTGGACAGCTACATGCAAAAAAAAAAAAATGAAACCAGACCACCAACTTACACCTTACACAAGAATAAACTCAAAATGGATAAAAGACTTAAATATGACGTGTGAATCCATAAAAATCCTAGAAGAAAATGTAGGCAGCCCTGGCTGGTTTGGCTCAGCGGTTAGAGCGTCGGCCTGCGGTCCGGAGATACCCGGGTTCAGTTCCCGCTAAGGGCACGTACTTCGGTTGCAGTTTGTCCCGGCCCTGGTTGGTCGTGCGGGATGTTTCTCTCACTCTCTCTCTCTCTTCCTCTCTCTCCCTCCCACTCTATCTGTACAAAAAAAAAAAAAAAAAAAGAAAAAAAAATACCCTGGCCGGTTTGGCTCAGCGGTTAGAGTGTCGACCTGCGGTCCTGAGAGACCTGGGTTCGGTTCCCGCTAAGGGCACGTACCTCATTTGTAGTTTGTCCCCGGCCCTGGTCGGTAGTGCGGGTGGCAGCCACTCGATGTGTTCCTTTCACATCGATGTTTCTCTCTCTCTCTCTGTTCCTCTCTCTCCCTCCCACTCTACCTGAACAAAAAAATGGGAAAATGTCCTCGGGTAAGGATTAAAAAAGAAAATTTAGGCAACAAATTTCAGACACGCAGCAGAATTTTCACTGATAAATGCCTAAGGCAAGAGAAACAAAGGACAAAATTAATACATGGGACTACATCAAACTAAAAAGCTTCTGCACAGCAAAAGAAACAACCATCAAAATGGAAAGGGAACCCACTATAAGGGAGACCATAATTGCCAACGATACATCAGATAAGGGGTTAATTTCCAAAATATATAGAGTACTCATACAATTCAACAAAAGAAAAATAAAGAATCCAATTAAAAAATGGGCAGAGGCCCTAAATAGACATTTCTCCAAAAAGGACATACAAATGGCTATGAGACATATAAAAAAATGTTCAATGTCACTAATCATCAGAGAGAGGCTAATTAAAACGACTATGAGGTATCACCTCACACCTGTCAGAATGGCCACCATCAACAAATCATCAAACAAGAAGTGCTGGCGAGGGTGTGGAGAAAAGGGGACTCTAGTACACTGTTGGTGGGAATGCAGACTGGTGCAGCCACTATGGAAAACAATATGGTGCTACCTCAAAAAATTAAAAATTGAACTGCCATGTGACCCAGTGATCCCACTTCTAGGAATATAGCCTTAGAAGTCTGAAACACCAATCAGAAAGAATATATGCACCTCTATGTTTATAGCAGCACTATTTACAATTGCTAAGATCTGGAAACAGCCCAAGTGTCCATCAATAGATGAGTGGATAAAAAAGCTGTGGTACATATGCACCACGGAATACTATGCAGCAGTAAGAAAGAAAGATCTCTTATCCTTTGAGATGACATGGAACAACCTGGAGAGTATTATGCTAAGTGAAAGAAACCAGTCAAAGACAAGTATCACATGATCTCACTTATTTGTTGAATATAATGAACAAAATAGACCCAGAGACATAGAAGTAGGGTTTGGACTGACAAACCTCTTAGGAGGGGGGCAGGAGGGAGGGAAGAAATAAACCAAAGAACTTATGAATATAAGCATAACCAATTGACATAGACTACAATGCTGTGGGGTGGGGGAGGGTGGCTGGAACAGGAGGAGGGTCAATGGGGGGGGAAAGGAAAAACATTTGTAACAAAAATAATTTAAAATATTGCTAAAAAAAAAAAAAGACAGGCCCACATTTGTTGTTTATTGATGACAGCCATCTGACAGGTGTGAGGTGATATCTCATGATGGTTTTAATTTGCACTTCTGATTGGTGATGTTGAGCATCTTTTCATGTCTTTTGGCCATCTGTATGTCTTCTTAAAAGAAGTGTCTATTCAGGTCCTTTGCCCATTTTTAATTGGATTGTAGGAGTTAGTTTTTTTTTTTTTTTTGGTGTTGAGTTGTATGAGTTATTTTTTTATTTTTTTTTTATCCTCACCCGAGGACATTTTTTGTTCAGATAGAGAAGGCGGAAGAGAGGGAGAGAGAAACATCGACGTGAAGGGACACATCGAGTGGCTGCCACCCACACGACCAACCAGGGCCGGGGACAAACTGCAACCGAGGTACGCGCCCTTAGCGGGAACCGAACCGGGGTCTCTTGGGACCGCAGGCCGACGCTCTAACCGCTGAGCCAAACCGGCCAGGGCGAGTTGTATGGTTTTTTTAAACGAATATTAACCCCTTATCACGTCTCATTGGTGAATATGTTCTCCCATTCAGTGAGTTGTTTTTTCATTTTGTTGATGGTTTCCTTTGCTGTGCAAAACTTTTTTAGTTTGATGTAGTCCCATTTATTTTTTGTTTCCCTTGCCTGAGAAGGTATATCAGAAAAAATATTACTAAGAGAAATGTCCAAGATTTTACTGTCCATGTTTTCTTCTAGGAGTTTTATGGTTGTGAGTCTTATATTTAAGTCTGTAATCCATTTTGAGTTTATTCTTGTATATGGTGTAAGGTGGTCTAGTTTCATTTTTTGCATCTATCTGTCCAATTTTCCAAACACTGTTTATTGAATAGACTGTCTTTACGCCATTGTATGTTCTTGCCTCCTTTGTGTCAAATATTGATTGACCATGTAGATGTGAGTTTATTGCTGGGCTTTCTATATCTGTTCTTTTGATCTAAATATGTCTGATGGCGAGGATGTACAGAAAAAGGAACCTTTATGCACTGTTGGTGGGAATGCAGATTGGTGCAGCCACCATGGAAAACAGTATGGAGGTTCCTCAAAAAATTAAAAATGGAACTGCTTTATGACCTAGCAATTCCACTTCTGGGTACATATCTGAAGAAACCCAAAACACTAATTTGAAAGAATATATGCACCTCTATATTTATTGTAGCACTATTTACAATAACCAAGCTATGGAAGCAGCCCAAGTGTCCATCAATAGACAAGTGTGTAAAGTGGTGGTGTACATATATACAATGGAATACTACTCAGCCATAAAAAATGAATGAAATTGTACCATTTGTGACAGCATGGATGGACCTGAAGGGTATTATGCTAAGTAAAGGAAGTCAGTCAAGAGAAAGACAAATACTGTATGATTTCACTTATACGAGGAATCTAAAGAGCAATATAAATGAACAAACAAAATAGAAACAGACTCATAGATGCAGAGAACATACTGATGGCTGTCGGAGGGGAGAGGGCTGGGGGACTAGGTGAAAAAGGTGAAGGGATTAAGCAGCAGATTGGTAGTTACAGAAGAGTCATGGGGATGTAAAGTTCAGCATAGGGAATATAGTCAGTAATATTGTAATAACTATGTATGGGCCAGGTGGGGACTGGGAATATCGGGGGGAACACTTTGCAAAGTATATGATTGTCTAACCACGCTGCTGTACTCCTGAAACTAATACAAAATAACATTGAGTGTAAACTGTAATTGGGGGAAAAAAAACAAAAAAAAACAGGCCCAGAGTCTTAAACGAATACATCAGGAGAAAAAGGAAGTTACTCATAAAAAAGGAACATTCGCCCTGGCCGGTTCGGCTCAGCGGTTGGAGCGTCGGCCTGCGGTACAGAGAATCCCGGGTTCGGTTCCCGCTAAGGGCACGTACCTCATTTGCAGTTTGTCCCCGGCCCTGGTTGGTCGTGCGGGTGGCAGCCACTCGATGTGTCCCTTCACATCGATGTTTCTCCCTCTCTCTCTTCCTCTCTCTCCTTCCCGCTCTGTCTGAACAAAAAATGGAAAAATGTCCTCGGGTGAGGATTAAAAAAAAAAGGAACATTCTTACATAACATAAACTGAAAGGTTCTTTCTGGAGAGCAAATATTTTCTTCAAAGTATAGTTGTATTTTTTTTATTATAAAATTCAGAAAATGCTTATATTTTTAAGCCCCAATTTTGACAAGTTAGCCTTTCAGATTTTCTGTTTGCCTAAGTACACAAGTATAAACATTTTTTGTTTTACAAAAATAGGACCACAGAGTATATGCACTATTTTGTAGTCTGTTTTATTCACTAAAAATGGATCATTCACTATGGCGACAAAAGCAGGTTGTCTCAATTTTCAGTGGTTGTATGTGTTCCAATCTATGGATATAATTTATTTAACTAAACCCCTATTGTTGGGCATTTTGTCCTCCTGGATGATGTCAAATAAGTGAAATTGTTGGGTCAAAATTTATAACATTTTAAAGGCTTTTGATATAATTAAATAGCTACTTGCCCTTCTCACATAGTCTCACAAGGTATTTGAGAGTAACTGTTTCTCCACATCTGCAATGAGGAGGCTGGAATTTCATTTCAATTCTATCCAAATTGTTTTACATACCCCCTTACAGGAAAACTTGCTCCTTAAATACATGATTACAATAGAGACATTCTGTGTAGTAAGTTAAATAACTGATAATTTACCAGTACAAAGGGAGGGAGCTAAGAAGACTGCATTGTTGTACAGATGATTTAAAAAATGTTTGAAGGTCTGTTACAAGGAGAGTGACTGGAGGAAAGATAACCATAAAATCTTATCAAAGCTGTTAATCAGTCTTCTTCATAACTGGAAACTAGGCTTAAAGGTAATCAAATTAGCAGAGTAGAGAGGAAGACACGCGGTATTCCTGCCTTGGAAGAGCAGATGTGCTGATTTTTGGTGTAAGATCTCACATGCGAGTTTAAAAGGTATGGTCCCTTACCTGCCCCTGGTTCAGAGTGGCTTGTGTATACATTTTCCCTTTCTGTCTCACCTCTTGCACATGAGGGGTCTCTGACTCCCCTGGGTATAAGGGTCTTCCATACCTATGCATGCATTAAATTTGTTTTGTTAATTCTCACCCGAAGATATTTTCCCTTTTTTAGAGTGGGAGGGGGGTATCAATGTGAGAGAAACACATTGATTGGTTGCCTCCTGTACAACCCAGACCAGGACCAGAGATTGAACCTGCAACCCTGGTACGTGCCCTTGACCGGGAATTGAACCCACAACACTTCAGTCCTCTGGCTGATGATCTAACTGCTAAGTCAAACCAGTCATGGCTGTATGCATTAAATTTGGTTATTCTCTCTTGCCAATCCACCCTATATCTACTTGGACCAGCTGAAAGAACCTTGAGGATAGAGTTTCTTCCTCCCCCACAGTTGGTGCTAAGCAGGACAAAGTCACTGGCTGGAGCCCAGCACTTCCCCACATGGCTGCTGCAGATAAGGAGATCTGGGGGCACCTGGCAGAGGCCGGCAGAAGGTAAGGGTTCTTACCATGTTAGCACACCCCCAGATCTCTGCGGGATCATGGGGTTTCTTTCTAGGGTGATGAAAATGTTCTGGAATTAGTGGTGATGGTTGCATAACTTTGAATACACTAAAACCCAGTAACAGTGAATTTTATGGCATGTGAATTACAGTTGAGATCTATTTTTTTTTTTTGTAAAGGCATAGAACGGTTTCATAACATGGGTACGGAAATAAGCATTTAAGGAGTAGAGGCACCAGATTCTGAAAAGGACTCTAGGCTGTTGGGTTGGTTAGATGTCTCCTACCCTACAACCTAGGATGAATTGTCACGTACATTTATTTCCCTTTAAGAAGCCCAAACTGGAGAACCTAAATCTCCTAACAGCTTTGTGATCTGTTCTAGCCAGGTCTCCTCAGAGGCAGCTGCTGAATTAAATAACACCTACGTGTAATGGCCTCTGGTGGGAACCATGCCGTCAGCTTCCCAGCACCCCCTGTGCACATGTCCCTTGTACAGACGCACTTCCTCCCAGGTTAGTATAAGTGTACAACGTTGCCACCTTCTTTCAGGGAAGTTACCTTTGAGGTGTTTTGGAATGGTGCTTACCATTAGCATTTTTTGAAGTGGGATTTATTTTAACTAACATATGCTTTATTGAAAGGCTATTTTAGAGTCAGATCATTAAGATGCTGTGGGAAAAAACAGACTATCTCCCAATTTCTCTGCCTGGCTTTCAAGTGTCCACATCACAAGTGCCCATCTTCCTTACCCATCTTAGCTCCTATTTTGCCAATCACGTCAGCCTCTCAACCCTCTGATTCACACGAGCCCCTAGGCCTCACTCAGGCTGTCCCTGGCTCCTGGGAACACCCCTCATTCTCAGTCCTACCCATCTGCCATGTTTAGCTCCTCCTCAAAGGTTGTCCCTCACTAGTCCAGCCCACATCGATTGTTTCTCTGAACACACATGTCTCCGTGTCACGTCATTTTTCTTCCACTAAACTGTCAGCTTGCTGAGGGGCTGTACCTTACAATTCTGTTTCAGAGTAGGTGATCAATGCTATTTTCACTACCACATCCTACTATTTAATGTATTTTTTTTACAAAAGGGATTAAGAGTTTAAGTAGATAAAATGACATCTTATATCAAAATTTTACTTTAATTACAAGGGTAAAATAATTCTGCTCTAGGCCCAAACTTTTTAATGCTTCCTGCTTTCCAAGTTTCCTATCATAATTCCCAACCAATTCCTCTCCACCTAGAAATGATAATAGGAAATTACCCTTTTAAGCAGTTTTCTCTGCAAGTGGGAATCTGAGTTGGTCATGCAGGTAGGGCCCCACCATGCCTGCATACATTGCCCTTTGCAAGCTGCCATTGCCTTATGTTAAAAAAACACACGACAGATTTCATGCTGAACTCTCTACTAGTATCAGGGCCACACAACTGGGGTCTTCAGAGAATGTATTTCCCAGGAAAAGAATCCGAGTCCTTTGATTTAAACGCTATTACGCTATAAAGTGCTCTTCCTTTTAAAAACAAAAACCTTCTCTCTCTCTCTCTCTCTCTCTCTCTCTCACACACACACACATACACACACACACACACACACACACACACACACACACACACACACATAAAATCACGAGGCAGACCACATGTCAGTTAACTTCTGTGTGCTGCTGGAATTAGTACAACCGAGCTCTCAATCAGTTTTATTTCTCTACCACAGTGGAGGAAAGGAAGGAGGAAAACTAATGGTAGAATCATTTCCTAGTAGGAAAAGGGGCCAGGATTCCACATTCATTTTGGAAACAGTAGAAAGAATTGTTTTCCTCACTCAGCCTAGGAAGACTGTGGCCCAAGGGAGTGGGGAGGAGCCAGATCAAATATATAGCCAGTAGTTTTCTGTTCTGAACCATCAGCTCCTTTCAAGTCCAGAGGGCAGCTATTCCCAAGTTCATGTGGGGGATGGTAGGAACATGTTCCTTCTGATGTTGGGCCCAGCTGTGCCTGTGAACAGATGGATGAAGATTTTGCAAACCTGTAGTCAGGTGTAACCCAACCTGAAGGGCTGGAGGAAGGGCTCTTTGCATCCTCTCCTGCCTGAGAAGCACAGAACTTGATGTGTGGCTGGTGTTCTGTAGGTTATATATTCAATTTTTGGAGATCTTTGCAATTGACATTATTGAAGCATGTTCTAAGTTCTGAGCAGAGAGCTAGAATGAAGAAGATATTTTTTATTGCTTTTCTAAAATCCCTTCTCTCATGTACAAAGATCTTTTCAGTTAGGTCCTCTATGATCCTAAATGCTCTCTGGTCAGTTGCCAACACAAATAGGCTGCTGCTGGATTTCCCATAGGGAAAATTAAAATGTAATTATTCTCCTTTTGTTACTTAGTCTCTAAGCTGAGAACTCCAAGTAGTAAGAGACACAAGACAAGGATGGGAGAGAATGAGCCTTTCTGAGAGCCTACTCCTTTGCTGAATGCCACTTTGAAAGGAAAGAAGAAGTCGAACGGCAATTTCCAGTCGATTCTGGGTTGGCCCCGTGGAGGCTCTGGCTTCTGGGTAATGTCCACAAAGGTCACAATAGTTGTCAAAGACATTTCTGTTACCTGGGAATCCTGTAGGGAGAAAGTCCATGACAGGTCAGCACTTGGTACCAATTCAAAATAGTCATCTACTTGACTTATTATAACTTTCCCTGGAGACAGACCAAAACCAAATTGCTTTAAGCAAGATTTACCTTTTTCTCATATTCATTCTATGTAGTTTTCTATGAGACAGAAAATTAGTTTCTTAGCAACAGTCTGTGACACCAGAACTGTGAACAGTCACACCTACCTCAAGACTGACTCTAGCTTCCCCCAACTGGGGAGCTGCCCCATATCAGAGAGGCCAGACGGCAAAACTGCTGCGACGTGCTCCGCAGCTCTGCCCTATCAGGTCCCAGGAGGCCCAGGCCCTGAAACAGTACACTTGTGCTAGTGGGAGCAGTAGTGGCAGTTCCATTTCTTCAATTGCAGAAAGAAATTGGAGACTTCATGGAAAAAGCAAAAAACTCAGAAATGGAGATTTTAAAACAACCACACCAGATTCACAGAATCTCAGGGTTAGAAAGGATCTTCCCAATCACCCACCAGTTCAAGTCAAATAAAACAGATGCTTCCAGAAGAAGAGACCTTGTCAAGTTGACTCGCGTATCTGATCTGACACAGACAGCTTTTGGTAGATAGGATTGCAACCTGATGACTAGAATCGTGTTTATCTAAAATAAACTCCCTTTGTTCTGACTGTGCTCAACAAGCAAACTTCTGATTATAATGTGGCTGTAAATAACTATCTTAAGTCAGAAATAAAGGTTTTTCTCCATTTACTTTCCTTGCTCTGATGCCACATAATATCTACTGTTGTCTTTGGCAACAGTAATACCAGACTCTGGGAACATAATTTTGCCCAGAATAACCCTTCTAGGAACTGTTGTTGTTTTTAAATGGGTGTAGGGCCAGTGCTGTGACAGTTTTGCACGTCATATTAACTCTTTGGATTCTTTTTTGTAAATAGTAACACTCATGAGGGACTTGGCCCAAGAACTAATGTAACTTCTGAGGCACCGTAAGACTGCAAGACAAGGACGGCCAGCTTAGATGGAAGCCGTGGAGGGAATCCCGATTCTAGCCAGGCATCAAGACGGGCTGAGACTAACCAGACAAAGGAGAATAAGTAATACACTTTCTTTGGACTTTAACTTATGAAAGAACTTACTAATAGGACTTCAGTTTTTTCCTAGGAACTTTATAATTGTATGTGGCCACATATCCAATTTTTGGAGCAAATCTTTGCCGTGGACATTACTGAAGCATGTTAGTATTGTTACTAATCTCACTGCAGAATGCCTGATGAGCTACATTGGCTGGGATGGCTAGAAATACTTTGGGATGGGAAACAGAATAAAGAATGAATTTTTAAACGTAACAGTCTGAGGAATGGGGTAGTCCCAGAGACATGGAAGTGGGGTACAGACTGACAATCCCCAGAAGAGGGGGTGGTGGGGGAGAGATAAACCACAGAACTTATATGCATGTATGCATGAACAGTGGACATGGACAACAAACTGGGGACAGGGCAGGGAGGGAGGGGGAGGGGGGAATCAGTGGAGGAAAAAGGAGAAACATCTGTAACAAAAATTAATTAATAAAAAAAAATGAATTTTTAGCCTTGGGTTCAATATTGCCTAGTTGATTTAATTAACATGCTGTTGGGGGGGGGGCGGGGGGGATTTTAACCTGCTCAGTAAATGTATGAAATCATTCAATGTGGACGGCATATGTGTTATGGGGTTGAAAAATGAAGTAGGGAAACATGTGAGGAGATAGTGAATAAGGAAAAGAGAGACATTTTCTAGGAGATGAAGACAAAAGATTCAGGAATGGAAATAGCCAAGGGGTGGAGAATTAAACTTATTTTTTGCTATTACAAACCGTCACTTTTTGTAGCCCTCTTTAGGAGATTTTGGGTTTTCCCAGGAGCAGAGTGCCTCTTCTGATTCTCTGGAGCAGCGCTGTCCAATAGAACTTCCTGCAATGTTGGAAATAGTCTAAATCTGCATTTTCAATACAGCAGCCACAGGCTATATGTGGCCTCTGCGCACTTGAAATAAGGCTAAGGTGACCAAGGAGCTGAATTTAAAAAGTTTTTAATTCGAGGTTAAATAACTACATGTGACTAGTAGCTACCACATGGGACAGTATGACTTTAAATGATCAAAATCTTGCTCCAGCTAGACCCAGTGTTTTCCTCTGTCTGCCCAGTTCTTACATCTGCATTATTTCCATCGCTTTGGTTTGGGATAACGGTCTCATGTTGGAAGAATAGATTTTTGCACTAGGAAGCCCACTGCTACACACCCAAGCAACATCTACCTACTTAGCATTTATTAGCAATGAAACTGATATTCTGATCTCTCTCTCTCTCACTCCTTTAATTGGTTTTAGACTCAGGCAGGGAAAAGAGAAGTGTCATTAGCTTTTTCAAACTCCAAAATCAGACAATTTCTGGAAGCTTGAGCTTAGCTGACCTCTAAGAGAGTTGTGAGCACAAGCAGGCAACCTGTAGTCCCGTTTCCATACAAATACATTTATTTTTAAGTCTGTGGTGTTTCAGTGATGAGAAACCACATATGATAAAACTTCTTTTTGAACAGAGTTGTTTTTCCAAACTCACCAGGATATATGCTCATCAAGATTTTAAGATGGCAGTGTAAAGACAGGCCTTCTCCCTCTGTTTCTCAAAACCACGCCAACCCAGTAACTACCAGACATAAAAGTTCCACCTTACTGAAATGGAGGGATGTCGCATGTGAGTAAAGAAAGCAGATGGAGGCAAGGTTTCACAGAAGGAAAGAAGGCTGAACCCAAAAGCCTTCAGACTAGACGCAAGCAGATCTCTGTACAACCCTGAAAGGCTCGGCGATGGGAGATGACAGGGAGGCAGGGATGGCACAGGGCCAGAACATGATCCCCGAGACACCTCAGTGCAAACAAGCAGCAACCCTTCCCCACCTCAAGGCAGACTGGACAATTCAAATTAGAGAAATTCTGGATTTAGAGATGTTGGGCATAAAGAAGGGCTGAGTGAGGTATAGAACTAAAAATAGGGAAATTACTCTGTATAATGAAATCCTTTTCTTCAACTAGTTCCAAAATGGACAGATGGTCTTATAACTATACTGTTCAGAAGGGAGGGTCTTTTTCTGAAGAAAATGAATAGTTCCAGCAAAAAGACACAAAGATACTGACATCTGGCAGTTCCATGTCTTGGTCAATGACAATGACATATATGATGGTGGTCTCATTAGATTCTAATGGAGCTGAAAAATCCGTATTGTCTAGTGACATAGCCCTCACAAAGTCACAGCACAACAAATTACTGTTGTGTTTGTGGAACAGCTGGTGTAAACAAACCTAGTGTGAGGTTGTACCTAACTGCCCCATCGTAGAGGCCAAGTCAGTCAGTCTCCTCATCCCAGAGCTTTAGGTCTTAATAGCTGAGCTTATTCGTGCACAAAACCAAGCTGGTCTCAAACACAAACCGGCAGGGCTGTATCTCTGTATTTGTACCACATAAAGAACAACGTTTCTGAGTTTAGTGTGTTATATTTGAATTCTAAAGTCTAATTTTTTTCTATTTGTACTTTAAAAATTATGTACCTCGCCACTTCACGCTTCGCCGTCTGCGGCTGCACTCTATCACGGTTTTTCAAATCTAGTCCAGTCTAATATTTGAAAAAACCACGACAGAGTGAAGCCGTGAAAGTCGGAGCGCGAAGTGGCAGGGAGGACTGTATAAATAAAGAACCCTACTTCATGGAAATTCATTTATCGCGGCCGAGTCTGGAACTGACTAACCGTGAAAAACAAGGGCTGACTGTACAGGCAAAATTAGAAATTCACTGAATAGCATGAGTGGCAAGAACAGTGAAAAAAAAAACCCATGAAACAAACAAACAAAACCACCAACCTCCCTCAAAGTCCAGTCATCTAATTTCTTTTATCAAGACAACAAAAGGCACAGAGCCAAGTCAGCTCGTTTCTTTTACTAGGGATTCAGTTGTTATGTATGGTTGATTTATTTTCTCTACCTTAAGCTATAATATTTTGTGATGTTTACTTCAGAAATCACCACCGACAATTCTGTTTTAACATTTTGTAAGGTTTTAGGGGATTTTTTCTTTTTTGTACTTTAATTCAATTTACATGCAGCAAAATCGATTGTCCTAAAATAAGATTTACTTTGTCACAACATGATAAGTTTGGATTAGGTTTTGTTTGGCTTTGGTAATAAAAAAGTACATCCTATATATTATTATATTACATTTTTATAATATCAATCTTTAAACTACTATATGTAAATGTGGATGTCAAATCATTACAAATGAAAACTATCATTACCAGAGAAAAAGCTGTGGATCATCTCTTTGACTTGTGTCTTGTAGCACGTATTTCAGATCATGAACTAGGACAAATTCCTCTTTGGCTCAGGTGTGTAACTCATGACTGAGCTGCAAGAGTTCTTTATTCCACATACAAGAATGTTACCAGGTACGTATATTGCAAATATTTCCCCCTAGTCAGTGGCTGTATTTTTTTTTTCATTTTAACTTTTTCATTGAAGTATAACTTATATACAATAAAATGTACACATCTTAAATGTTCAGTGTAATGAGTTTTGACAGTTGTATATACAATTAGACCAAACAACTTACACCATATACAAGAATAAACTCAAAATGGATAAAAGACTTAAAGTTGCAAACCATAAAAATCCTAGAAGAAGTAAAATCTCAGACATCTCTCAGAGCAATAGGCTCAGAGACACAAGTGTGTAACTGTCACATTGGATATAGTTATGGAAAATATTTTCTGTGGTTAAATCCACCAGTAAAATAATAGTGGTATGATAATTTAAAAGAAATTAACCTACTCTATAGTCTGAGTTCAGGATATAAAAAAAAAAACCTGGGGAAAAAGAATATAGATGTATTCACTATGACAACATGCTAACTTCAGTGACCAGGCAGGGAGGACTGACTTGAAAGTTAACTGTGTCAGCTCACTCTAACTAAACATTGGCTGGTAGCATAAACTGGCTCTTAGAAGTAAAAAATTATAAGGTCATCAAATGGCTGATAAGACAATCAAGGTTTTGCAAGGATTAGTGGTCCTTTATGAGCCATGACTTACCTTTATGGCCTGACACTGGTACAGGAATCGTGCTCCTGACACATGAGCTTGTGGGTTGGACTGGAGGCCTATATATGCCCACAATACCTGGATCTCCAGGGAAACGGGTATCACACAGCAGGAAGGGCAGTGCACTGCCTGCAGAAGGGTAGAGAAGCACCTGCTTGAATCGCTGATGGGTGCCTATCGTCAGTCACCGTGCATTATGTAGCTGTTGTTTTATCTTAAACATTATATAATAACAGAGAAGGAAATGTGGCTTACAGAATACAAGAGTTCACAATAAACCATATTATTGTCCTTGATCTTAGGAAAATTAAAATTCTAAAATGGAAATTACTAATACAGAGATTATAAAATGTGAGCCCACTTACAGTGGTTATGGGAAGTACTCAGTGTGCCCAGCTGGAGTGCTGCAGTTGGCTGGAGCATCATCCTGTGCACTGAAAGGTTGCCGGTTTGATTCCCAGTCAGGGCAATAACTGGTTGTGGGTTTGATCCCATCAGGGAATGTATGAAAAGCAAATGATTGACGTTTCTCTCTCTAAGCAGCAGATGAGGATTAAAAAAAGGAAGCGCTCAGTGAGTGGTGCATAGTCAGTATTGTGGAGGGCCAGAAGAAGAAACAGCCATTCAGCCATTTCTGGGCGAGGATGGAACTGGGATGAGTAATATGTGACCAGAAGAAATGATGACTAAAGGAAAATTCAGGTAGAGAGATGGCATATGAAAAGGTATACAACCAGAACAGCACATGATGTACTGGAGGGACATTCATTGATTAATGTGAATCACAGTTCATGAGTGTGTCCTATGTGTCTGGCATGTACGAGGTGCTGGCCTTGAGCAGACCCTTGACTGAAGCAAAGAGCTTGAGCACAGGAGCAGTGAAAGGCTAAGGAAGAAGACATTTCAGTGATTGTAAAGTCCAACCAAGCAGTCTGACTCTAGGAGGATTAATTCCAAGATGCAAAAAGGACTAATGGAAGTGAGGACTTTAATCAGAAAGTTACTACTATAACTTAGCAGATACATACTATCCTTACATATGGTTATTGCTTTTCTAGCTTTATACTTTTTTATAGTAAGGCTCAGATATAGGTAATAACATGTATAAACAAGAAACAGGAAAAGACAGACCATGTTTATGTTATTAAGAAAACTGTCAAACTAACTGTTTTCCAAGTTGCTGCACCATTTTGTAGTCCCACCAACTATGTCTGAGGATACCAATACCTCCACATCCTTGCCAGCACTTGTTATCCATCTTTTTTTTTTTAATCCTCACCCGAGGACACTTTTCCATTTTTTTTTTTTTTTTTTTTTTTATCCTCACCCGAGGATATTTTTCCATTTTTTGTACAGATAGAGTGGGAGGGAAAAAGAGGAAGGGAGAGAGAGAGAAACATCGACGTGAAGGGACACATCGAGTGGCTACCACCCGCACGACCAACCAGGGCCGGGGACAAACTGCAACCGAAGTACGTGCCCTTAGCGGGAACCGAACCCGGGTCTCTCCGGACCGCAGGCCGACGCTCTAACCGCTGAGCCAAACTGGCCAGGGCCACTTTTCCATTTTTTGTTCAGATAGAGCAGGAGGGAGAGAGAGGAAGAGAGAGAGAGAAACATCGACGTGAAGGGACACATCGAGTGGCTGCCACCCACACGACCAACCAGGGCCGGGGACAAACTGCAACCGAGGTACATGCCCTTAGTGGGAACCGAACCCGGGTCTCTCTGTACCGCAGGCGGACGCTCCAACCGCTGAGCCAAACCGGCCAGGGCTCCATCTTTTTAATTATAGCCATTCTAGTGGGTATGAAGTGGTATATCATTGTGGTTTTACCATTTTTTTGTTTGTTTGTTTGTTTTAGAGAGAGGAGGGGAGACAGAGAGAGAGATAAAAACATCAATGTGTGAAAAAAACATCAATTAGCTGCCTCCTGCATGCCCCCTACTGGAGATCGAGCCTGAAACCCAGGCATGTGCCCTGACTGAGAATCAAACCAGGACCTCTCAAACCACAGGATGATGCTCAATCCACTGAGCCACATCGGCTGGGCAAGTTTTGCAATTTTTAATGGCTAATGATGTTAAACATCTTTTCATGAGTTTGTTCCAAATACTCTAAAACATTTTTCTTTTCATTTATTCTATGTTAGGAACATTTTCCCATGCTGTCAAACATTCTCTGAAAGTGTGATTTTTAAGCTCGGCCGGTGTGGCTCAGTGGACTGAGCATTGTCCCATGGACTGAGAGGTCCTGGTTTGATTCCTGGTCAGGGCACATACCCAGGTTGCGGGCTCAATCCCCAGTAGGGGGCGTGCAGGAGGCAGCCGATCAATGTTTCTATCTCTCTCTCTAAAAAAGTCAATGAAAACATATATTTAAAAAAAAAAGTGTGATTGCCCTGGCCAGTTTGGCTCAGGGGTTGGAGTATTGGCCTGTGGACCAAAGAATTACAGGTCTGATTCCAGTCAAGGGCATGTACCTTGGTTGCAGTTCGTCCCCAGCCCTGGTAGGGGTCGTGGAGGAGGTAACCAGTCGATGTGTCCCTCTCATGTCAATGTTTCTATCTTTCTCTCCCTCTCTCTCTCCCTCCCTCCCACTCTATCTGAAGATAAATAGAAAAATATCCTCAGGTGAGAATTAAAAAAATAAAAAGTGTGATTTTAAAATGTAAATTTAAGAATAATAAAGAGTAGTTCCATTATAACCTCAATTCAACCCCTTCCTGTATTCAGCCATGCAGGACCCCAAATCCACACACCCTTAGTATGGCTTTGAAGTTTAAGAGAACTCAATTTGATTTCAGTTGCCTAAAGGCTGGATCAAGTACCCCAAATCTCCTTAAAAGGAAAGAAGTATACAAGGAAAACAATCATAATAGTGCTAAGAAAGGGGAAAATGGCACTTTAATCAACTTCTGCATGGCAAAAAATAAACACCTAAACATCTTCAAAAGATAAAAGACAAACTGAGAAAAAAATATCTGCTAATCATACCACAGAGAGCCGATTTCGCAAATACCTCAACATTTCCTATAAGTCATAAGATTAGTAATTCAATAAAAATGGGCAAGGGAGCCTGGCCAGTATGGCTCAGTGGACTGAGCATCATCTCATGGAGTGGGGGGTCCTGGTTCAATTCCCAGTCAGGGCACATGCCCCAGTGAGGGGGCGTGCAGGAGGCAGCCAATCCATGTTTTTCTCTGACATCAATGTTTCTATCTCTCTCTTCCTTCCGTTCTCTAAAAAAAAAAATCAATAAAAAAAAAAAAATTAAAAATGGTCGAGGGTTATAAATAGATCACAATGAAGAAAATACAGACTGTTCAACCATGTGTCAAGATACTCAACCTTATTCATTGAGCGAAATAAAACTACACTGTCATGCTATTTCTCACTTATCAGATGGGCAAAGATTAAAAAGTTTGAAAACAATATTGATAAAGGTCAATATTGATGAGGCGTAACCAGCAGTCTCAGAGATGGATGGTGGGACTGCAAATTGGTACAACCTGTATAGAGAATGAACTGGCAATATTTATTAACATTTTAAATGCATATACTTTTTTTTTTTTTTTTATCCTCACCCGAGGACATTTTTCCATTTTTTGTACAGATAGAGTGGGAGAGAGAGAGAGGAAGGGAGAGAGAGAAACATCGACGTGAAGGGACACATCGAGTGGCTGCCACCCGCACGACCAACCAGGGCTGGGGACAAACTGCAACCGAAGTACGTGCCCTTAGCGGGAACCGAACCCGGGTCTCTCCGGACCGCAGGCCGACGCTCTAATCGCTGAGCCAAACTGGCCAGGGCAAATGCATATACCTTTTGATCTAGAAATTCTACTTCTAGGATTTAGGTTTATTCTCATATGTACAATATAGTACCTGAGTGAGATTATAATATGCCACATTGTGTATGATAACAAAAGACAGATAACAAACTCAATGTCCACCAGTAAAAGTGGTTAAATAAATTATGGTCCCTCTGTATAATGGAATACTATGCAACTATACTATGCAAAGAATCGGGAGGCTATTATGTACTGTCATGGAACAAACTCTAAGATCAAGGGAAAAAAGCAAGGTGCAGAGCAGTATTTATGATATTGCATCATCTGGATAAAAAAGGAGTGTAAGAGTATCCTTGTGTGAGCATGCATTATCTACGGAAGGAAAGAAACTAGTAACTTTGGTTGCCTCTGTGGAAGGGAAGAGCTGCCTGGGAGATAGATTTTTATTTTATACTTTTTCGAAATTTTGAAGCCAAGTATATGTATTACTTATACAGCAAAATAAATAAATAAAATTTTTAAATGAAAAGAAATAAAATTAAAGGTACAGCTGACTAAAGTGAGGAGGTAGCGGTAGGAAGAGGAAGACAGAAGAGCACAGCAGATTCCCTTAGTTTAGTCAGATGTGTCAAGAGACACCCCTGCTGTGCATGATCTAGTGGGCCACCCGAAAAAGTCAAAACAAAACAGCTGGATGAGGTTACTTCCAGGGCACAGACTGTTGAGGTTTTACTTTTATTTAATACCATTCTACATGGTATGAATTTTTGACCTGGTAATGTACTTTTAATAAGTGTAAATATAAAAATAAAAAATTTTATAACAATAGGAAGAATACAATTTCAACTTCAAAGAAAGAATCTGTGCTGACCAAATATTCAGGAATGTAAGAATATTTGAAATATATATGATATATATTTATTTTCCTCTTACTATGAGTAAGGTTAATTTTGAATCACAGAGCAATCTCTAGATTTTCTATGTTCAAATTTTTCTCCTTGCATGGAAAATAAGTATAAACTTAACCTGAAATAATGACATCAAATGAGCATGATTTCTTATATTCTTAGGACAACTACATATCTTCCTTCTATAATAACCATATCATCTATGGAGACAGGGCTGGTTTTAATTTCAATATTCACAAGAAAACGGGGAAGTGAGTCTTGGTCAGAACAGGTCTCTCTTTCCTTACCGAAACACTGCAGTTCCTGCCGAGGATCCTGGTCCACTGTCCCTTCTGGGCTGGGTCAGCGTTACCGAAGATGGCAACATGCTCTGGTCTGGGCCTTCCGTGAAGAGTCTGATATACTTCTTGCTGCAAGTGGCTGCAGTCTACCTTTTTCAGCCTGAAATTAAACATCTTGGAGGCTGGAGTCCAACGCTAACATAATCATGTAACCATATTAATATATTAATCCAAATATTAGAAATAATAGTATAAAATGTATTGGAGGAAAAAAAAAATCCTCAGTAGGTATAGAGGACTGTCAGAAAACTCTTAGCAATATTAATATTATTTAGATTAGATTATAAGACTATTCCTAACTAGCAATCTCTGAACTCTCATTCAAGATATAAAGGGTGCTATATCAACATAATCCCTAGAGACAAAAATTGTTGACACGGAAGCAATGAATTACCTGAGTTTGCATCCTGACATTGAGTTCACTCCAAATTGTACTTCGTGTCTCCGAACAGAGCAAGTTCCATCACCCTGGCTCTGCAAGAGGGTCATCTGAGGTGGAGAGTGATGGTCAAGGAGATGGTAAAGAGTGATGGTAAAGAGAAAAGAGTAGGCAGATTGGAAAATTTATGCTCTTATTGTTTCCTTAATACTATATTTTATTAGTATCATGGTATCGTTCAAGCCATAATTTTTCTTCTTCAATTAAAAAATACACAGAGATAGTGTTTTCCCAAAATGGCTAACTATACACCAGCCTACAAACACCTCATTAAAACAAAAATCAGCGTGGCCAGTGTGGCTTAGTGGTTGAGCATCAACCCGTGTACCAAGAGGTCTCCAGTTAGATTCCTGGTCAGGGTACATGCCCAGGTTGTGGGCCTGATCCCCAGTGCGGGGCATGCAGGAGGTGGCCAATTGATATTCTCTCTCATCAATGTTTCTATCTCTCTCTCCCTCTCCCTTCCTCTCTCTCTAAAATCAATAAAGGAAAAATAAATAAATTAAAAAAACAAAAATCAGCCCTGGCCATTTTGGTTCAGTGGTTAAAGCATTGGCCCTCAGACTGACAGGTCTCTGGTTTGATCCCTGGCCCTGGTTGGGTTGTACAGGAGGCGACCAATTGATGTTTCTCTTTCTCTCCCTTCCTCCCTTGTATTCTATCTTAAAAAAAAAAAAAAAAAAAAAGAAAAAATATCCTTGGGTGAAGATTAATAATAACTACTAAATAAATAACTGAAACAAAAATCAGTCACAATCTTCACCTTCAGCCAGTCTAAGCTTAAGTTTTAAAGCCTTTGCTCATATCAGATTTGAGAACATAATGTATTAGTAGCTTGGTAAAGGAAATCCTAGACACCTAAAAAAAGGGGGACTCGGAACTGGAAAGCCCGAAAGATCACAGCGGCAGCTTTCCTCCTTAGGCTGCAACAGCCCAATCAGCTTCAAAAAGGATACTGAGTGACTCATGTCACCAGTTAGAGCCAAGAGTGGCTTCCCAACAATATAGCCAGGATTCCCACTTCTAGGAGCAGGAAGAGAAGCCGCTGTGCTCTGAAAAGCCTGCAGAAAGAGTAGAAGAAAGTCAGTTATGGAGAAAGTCAATTACAGAGAAAAGCATGCTCTCACACCTTCCCCTGCTTGGCCTCACACCCCTCCTCACGGCAATGCAGGAAGTTAGCTGCACTGGACACTCTGGCTCCCTTCCACATAACTTTTCCCTTGTCACCCCCTAAAGTAAATCCCAAGTGACCTGAATATTGAAATTCACTATATAAATTCACTAGATGCTACTTCTACCAAGGGTTATAAAGATCTATCAACCCTGTTTATAAAAAATTACTATCCATTTAGGGTCATGTTCAGCCTGGCTGAAATGAGAGAAATTTAAATGTAATTTATAAATATATCTTAATTAACTATAGATGTTCCAGAGATGAACTCTGAGACACACAAGACTTGGGTGGTCACTTGAAGGCAGAGTTGAGAAGAAACTGGACTCAGCTAGGTTCAAAAACAAAGTAGTAGAAGAAGGCCAAAGTTGGTGACCAAGATTGGAAACTTAGGTTAAGTGGGGAACGAATAAAACACTGAATGATGCCATCACATTCTATCTTTTATGATGTTCATAAATACACATAGGCAAATATTCATGCTCACTGTAAGCACATATGCTTAAATAATACAGACAAAAAAAGTGAAAAAAAAGATCTGCTGAATGCCCAGAAATATGAGAAAAGCTAGTTAAAGAATTTCTGTGGGATGATGGCTGAATTTATGATTCAAAATGACTATTTAAAAAAAGTTTGGCCCTGGCCGGTTTGGCTCAGCGGTTAGAGCATTGGCCTGCGGTCCTGAGAGACCCGGGTTCGGTTCCCGCTAAGGGCGCGTACCTCGGTTGCAGTTTGTCCCCGGCCCTGGTCGGTTGTGCGGGTGGCAGCCACTCGATGTGTTCCTTTCACATCGATGTTTCTCTCTTTCTCTCTCTCTGTTCCTCTCTCTCCTTCCCACTCTACCTGAACAAAAAATGGAAAAATGTCCTCCGGTGAGGATAAAAAAAAAAAAAAAAAAGTTTGGATTTGAGACTGAAGTCCTGCTTTTCTGAGGGCCAGATAAAAAAATCAGAGAAAATGTTAATGAATGAACACGGGTGAGTCCATATCACTTGTAGTTAAATTATGGCATATTAAATGTTGAGGCATCTTGCACAGTGAACACCCAAGTGTGCTTTCTAGTTCCCTTGACTTTGACTCTGTGCTAGAGCAATGTCCGTTCTGTGCCTCTGCACTGAAGAGACTATTTATCCTTTTAAAACTATTCAGAAAGTCAGAACATTATTTTTAAAAAAATGTCGAGGCCTCCACTGACAGACTGAACGAGGCCTTCATATTCTCACTCTACTTCGCACGTTACGGATGCAGAGGAACTGTTTCTAACCCAATGTGTCTTCCTCCCTTGGTCCCCTCAGGAGAAGCGCCCTAACCGTGAAGCGAATGATGAAGTGTTGCTGTAAGGAAGCGCCTGGCTCAACAGTCAGGTTGGTTTGTCCGAAACTGACAGAGACTTTCTGGATCCCAAAAGTCCCATTGGTCTCTATCTCATAGATGACCTGAAATACAAAAGTAGAATCAATTAATAAAAATTAATAAAAAATTGGGCCAATTCTGTTTTATTAAAAATTCCTGTCTTTGAGGATTTTATTATAAATAGATGAGGGTACAGCATGATGACTACAGTTAACAATATTGTATATTTGAAAGTTGATAAAAGAGTAGATCTTGAAAATTCTCATAAGAAAAAAATTATAACTGTGTGGTGATGGTTAACTAAACTTATTGTGGTAATCATTTTGCAATATATACAGGAGTGGGCAAAAGTAGGTTTACCGATGAGTTTATTCTTATATTATTATTTATTTATTATTGAATTATTTATTTGTATTAAAACTGTAAAACTACTTTTGTCTACCCTGTACATATAGCAAATCATACTGAACATCTAAAACTAATAAAATGTTACATATTAATTATGTCTCAATGAAACATATAGCCGAATGACGGAGAACAAACAAGTAGTCTTAAAAATGCCAAACATTGGGGAGAAAAGGAGAAATATCTGTAACAAAAATAAATAGATAAAGCCAAACACAAATACCACGAAAAGATAAAGTTGACCTCTTATTCCTACACATGAAAAAAAGAGACTGGATAGAACTCTTTGAAGATTCATGGGAGAGGTGAATTTATAGTAAGAATTGAAAGGAAAGAAAAAGTAAGGATTTTTTGTTATATTTTGTTTGTTTGTTTTTGTTAATTCTCACCTGAGGATATTTTTCCCAATGATTTCTAGGTAGAGTGGAAGGGAGGGAGGGAGAGAAACATCAATGTGAAACCGACCAGGGCCAGGGCTCGAACCTGCAACCCAGGTATGTGCCCTTGACTGGAATTGAACCTGAGACCCTTTGGTCTGCAGGCCGATTGCTCTTGCCGCTGAGCCAAACTGGCCAGGTCAGAAAAGTCAGTTTTAATTGTGTGTAGTGGGAGGTGAGAAGCACAGGCAGGTACACATGGACTGGAAACCTGGTTTACTTGGCTGTCCCCATGTCTAAGGATGAGTCAAGATAATAGCTGGAGATGGAAGTTATGAGTAGATTTTTGAGCATAGTCTTTAAAATTATGCTTTAAGGCAATTCTTACTTCTGTAGGTTGATTAGAAGAGAGAGAATAGAGGAAAAGTTGATTATTTCAGATGATACTGACTTTGTTAACAGAAGAAAACGTGGTCAGTAAGAACCATAACAAACTGCACATGAACAAAAAAAGAGGAATCAGAAATACTCTCAATGTTCTTGACATGCAATACTGGAGGACGGTAGCAACAGCAACATATGAAACATGGTAGGGAGGAAAGGGATGGGCTCAGTTCTTGACATGTTAATTTTCAGGTAATGCACAAAAATCCAAGTGCAGTGTCCTTCAACAGGGGTTGGTGTGGTACTTGACAGAAGACAGGGCACCTCTATAGTGTAATCAGCGTACATCAGTCCAGAACCGGAGGGCAGCATCCCTACCTCGGAAACAACATTCTGACACGTGTTGCCAGCCAACAGAGGAGAACCAGCCTGTGAGACGAGTGTTACAGGAACCTGGAACTAGCAAGGGAAAGAAGCAAATCAACTAAAATTGAAAGCAGCATCTTCTCTTCCAGCTATATACCATGTTGAAATGAGTATTTTTCATTTTGACCATCAACTCCCCCCCCCCTTTTATTGCCAGCCTATAATTTAAGTTCAAGTCATGCTAAGTCAGCACATCTCAAAATGTATTTCTCAGAACATTAATTCTATTAGCTATAAAATAAAGGGTCCATGGTCAAATAAGTTTTAGAAATACTATATTCTACACCTGCCTCTTAGAGATTAACAAGGCCCTCAAGCATATATTAAAGACTCCAAGAAGTCCATCCTAAATATAGTGTTAACTTTATTTAATCCAATGTTTCCCAAACTTATCTAACACCTTTTGAATTCCTGATTCATGTGATGCTTATTAATTGTACAGAACACACATAGAAAACAATGTTTTAGGTTCACACTTAACATTTTGATACATCACAAATACATTATCTTTCACCATTACAATCTAGACTGAAATTGCCTCAGATGCAAAGGGACCAAATATTCTCTTTACTTTTTCCTGATGAACAGCATCATACCTTCATATTCTGCAGATCAGTCATACCTCTTGGAAGCTAGAAAAAGAGAAAAGCCAGAAAATGAGTATGAATATACCTTAGAGAAAACCTCCAGGAGCTTGCGGTTTCACATTAGGGGAGAAAATGAACATATTACAATCATTTGCTTCCTCTCTTCTCCCTGACTCTTCTTGACACTGAAATGCCAGGAGTGAGGCCGAGGGGAGGCTGGGTGGACCGCAATGCCCACCTACTCTGAGCGGATGCTAGTGAATGGCAAAGCAGAAGTTCTGGTGAAATAGTGAGCTGTCACCCCTTTCACTCTCCCAAGCCAATCCCACTAGCCAGAAGGTTGAAAATCTCTTCCATGGCTACAGAGCCCTAGTTCTTTCATCTTTCTTCAGATAATAGTTTCCAGGCCCTCTGCCTTGTCTGTAGCTCTTGGGCATTCTGACTTCCAGGTTAGTGCTTTCCCACAACCCAGCAGTGGGAAGCGTATTGACTTTAAACCCACAGTGGTGACAGTGGGGAGAGAAGGGATACCCACCTTCAAGACTGTGAAGTTGTAGTAAGAGGCAGCATCAAGGGCCGGATCCAAGGTGCAGCTGTTTGCCAGGTTCTTGAAGAAACGAGCACAGGTTGTACTTTTACTCTCCAAGAAACCTTGGAACACAAAGGATCAAGGGGTGGTAAGTGAGAAAGCCTGTTCTAACTGGGACAACAGGGTTGGCACTTTGGCTCTGGACTCACCTGCGGGGTTGCTCTCGGTACAGAGGCCCCCAGCTCCAACTCCTGCAGGCTGCCTCAGTAGGCCGATTACAGACCATTCGGAGAAGTAAGTCAAAATGGGGTCCCCAGCCTGAACAAAGCATAGCAGAAATTCATTCACAATGAGATTGGACCAAAGTCCACCAAAAAAAAAAAAAGTAGAAACAAAAATCAACTCAACAGCTTGTTACTGTGGACAACACTGCCCTCCAAAAGAACTGACAATGGCTGACCTACCTGCAGTCAACTCTCGGTTATGAGGGAAAAAGGTCAAACCAAACAATCCCATCCCCTCCCCAGGCTCACCCTGTAAAAAGGTAGAGGCGACTGGGTTTGGAATATTGAAGTGAATGATTTGCCTCCAAACTCTGTAGCCAGGGCCTGGAAGTTGGACGCATTGACTTTTTGGAGCTCCTGGAAATAGTTTAATTTTGCTAAAATGTTTTTAAAAAGAAAACGGGTTTAGATAAAAGAAAACATTTATTTTTAAATATCTTGCTTACCAGGTAACTAACATTTTTATTGCGGCATAATACATACACAGTAAGGTTAAGAATACAAATGCAGTAATCTTGAGCATAAACTCAAAATAATTTTTACAAATTTACTTTTATTACTACTACTCAGATTAAGTTATAGAACATCTTCCCAGAAGGCTCCCAATCAATACTCCATCTTGAGTTAACAATTCTGATTTCTATCACCTTCTAGTTTATTTGTAATCTGTTAAATGGATTATTGTTTTAGTATTAAGATCTGAGATAAGAATATAGTCAAATCTGTGGAAAATAGTATGGAGGTTTCTCAAAACATTAAGAATAGAGTTACCATATGACCCAGCAACTCTTCTTCTGGGTATCTATCCAAACAATTTGAAAACAATTATTCATAAACATATATGTACCCCCCATGTTCACTGAAGCATTTATGATGGCCAAGACATGGAAACAACCAAAGTGTCCTTCAGTAGATGACTGGATAAAGAAGATGTGGTACACACATACAGCGGAATGCCACTAATACTGCCATTTGCAACAACATGGATGAATCTTGAGAATAACATGCTAAGCAAAAAAAGTCAGAAAAAGTCAAGAACCACATCATTTCCCTCATATGTGAGATATAAAATTAAAAGCAACAAATGAACAAAAAAGACTAAAAACCAAAAACTCACAGATACAGACAACAGTTTGGCAGTTAGCAGAGGGAAAGGGGTAGGGGAGGTAAAGAGTAAAGGGGTCAAATATGTGGTGACAGAGATGTGGCTTTGAGTGGTAAACACACAATGCAATATACAGATGATGAGTTATAGAACTGTACACCTGAAACCTGTATTATCTTATTAACCAATGCCACCCCAATAAATTAACATTTTAAATGGTATAAATATATCACCTAGCTGTAGTATCTACATAATTTAAAAACTTGAAAACAGAAAAAAAAAAAGAATATGATCAATGAATTCCAATTAGTTTCAAGTCCGATGCCAGGAATGTGCATGATCAGCAATTTGTGATGAAAACAGGAGGCTCAATAATGTTAACATTTGCCCACACTAGATGAGTCTCGAGTACAACAAAATTGTACTGTTTCCAGAGGAACATGGCAAAGTCGGAGACAATATTTGATTTGTCCTCTCTAAATCTTCCTGTTTCCTTTCCATAGGAACATGGCAAAGTCGGAGACAATATTTGATTTGTCCTCTCTAAATCTTCCTGTTTCCTTTCCATAGGAACATGGCAAAGTCGGAGACAATATTTGATTTGTCCTCTCTAAATCTTCCTGTTTCCTTTCCATAGGAACATGGCAAAGTCGGAGACAATATTTGATTTGTCCTCTCTAAATCTTCCTGTTTCCTTTCCATAGGAACATGGCAAAGTTGGAGACAATATTTGATTTGTCCTCTAAATCTTCCTGTTTCCTCAAAACTTCAACTGCTGCCCTGGCTGGTTTGGCTCAGCAGTTAAAGAAGTGGTCCACGGACCAGAGAGCCTGGGATCGGTCCTGCTAAGGGCACATACCTGGGTTGCAGTTCGTCCCCGTGTGGGTGGCAACCAGTCGATGTGTCTCTCTCACATCGATGTTTCTCTCTCTCCCGCTATATCTGGAGATAAATG